ATAAATAAATAAATAAATAAATAAATAAATAAATAAATAAATAAATAAATAAATAAATAAATAAATAAAAGATTAGCTGAAACACACACACACACAGACAAAAGAAATTGCCTTCAGAAACTGTGGGTGCTCCATCCCTGGAGGATTTTAACAAGAGATTGACCAGCCACCTGTCTGAAATGGTATAGGGTCTCCTGCTTGAGCGGGGGGCTGGACTAGAAGATCTCCAAGGTCCCTTCCGGCTCTATCCCAATTGAATTAAAATGACAGCCTTGTCTGTCACAGAGCTTACAACTGCTTTCTGCCGCTCCCTTTCTCTCTGCTTTGCTCTTTCGGATTCTCGCTTTTCGTATTCTTTGCGGTACTCTTCCCTCTTCAGCCTCTCGTGCTGATATTCCTCGTAGCTGTCGTATCTAGGAGACAAATGGGAGTTGCTGAAATCAAAGGCCCAAATTTCCCCAAGGATGCAAAGGAAGGCGGCCAGCCTCTTCCTTTCCATTCCCTTGGCTTTTCTTTTAATTTTATTTTTGGGCATATGCAAAAGAAAGGAAACTTCTTTGTGTTACCTGCATAGATCTACCAACCCCTCACGTATCAAATATCTGCAGATCCCTCAAATATCCCCAAACACAGAACCCTCACATATCAAATACCATCCCTCAAATAGCTACAGACCCCTCACATCCTGGACACAAACTGCTCCAAACCCCCATAACTTTCACCTTCAACTGTCCACCGTGGATCTCCTCACCCCTTTCCTGAGAGGTCCATAAAGGGGTGCTTTCCGTCCCTCCCCTGCTGTCCCCATTTATTCCTACCCATTTCCTTTGTCCGTGTCCATGTTCATACTTATACCTGTTATCTCGTATATGTTTGATAAACTAAATAAATGAAATAATTAAATAAATGAAACTCTTCTCCTCAGGATGACACTACAGGGCATTGCACAGCAAAACAACCTACACAAGGACAGTCCCCCATCCCCCCCCTTTCCCATCACTCTGCTAAACAACTAATTCCCACAACACTCTCTTATGCCCTGGGATATCAAGCCAGGTAGAAAGGCTGCGTTACCTATTTCCTTCTGTATCCTTATCTGTCTATCTATCTGTCCATCTATCGTCTGTCTGTCTCTCTCTTTCTATATATCTATCTCTCTAACTTTATAATCTATCTATCATCTCTCTCCCATCCATCCATCCATCCATCCATCCATCCATCCCTATCTATCTATCTATCTATCTATCTATCTATCTATCTATCTATCT